AAAAGAGGAAGACCCCCAACGAGATGGATCAGCCAGGTGGCATCATTGATGGACTCAAGTGTGGCAGCGGTAGTGAGGTTGGCCCAGGATCTGACATGGTTTCGTTTTGCTGTGCATGGCGTCTGTATGAGTCGGTTTCGACTCGATAGCACCTGACAACAACAACAACAACAACAACAAGGATAAACATTGGAATGCTAACCACAAGGTTAGCGGTTCAACCCACCAGCTGCTCCTTGGAAACCCTATTCAGGGTCACCGTGAATTGGAACCCACACGTGGGCACTTCACAGCATTGTGCTCTAGCACATTGAGAGTGTTTTTGCAGCATAGTAAATACCCAGGTACAAACAGTCTCTGTCAGACCCACTGTCCCTCCCCTACCTGTTCATTCAGTGTAGCTCTCCATGTCTCTACTTTGGTAGTTCAGTTGTGTGTTTGTTAAGTGCCGTTGGTCTGTTCCACCCATCTGTGTGCCTTTCATTGCTCCAGTATCACATCATTTTTACTCCCGTGGCTGTGTAGTCCTTTCGGAGATTGGAGAGTGAGAGACCTCTTTTAGTAAATCTTTATGGATAGTTTTTCCATCATTTAAAGACTGTGGTGTTGGAATCTGGGCTGAGATTGCGTGATATCAGAAGATTTCCTTGGGTGGTGACATCTCCTCAGTGGTAAGTCTTATCCATGAACATGGTTTATCCTTCCCTTTTTGTAGAGCTCCTGGTTTGGTTTCTTGTTCTAGTATTCTGCAGTTCTCTTTGTGTAGGTCTTTTGGTTTTGTGGTTAGATATATTACTAAGTATTTTATCTTTTGGGTGACTGTTGTAAATGGTATATTTTTCCAGATTTCCTTTTCAGAGTTGTCTTTATTAGTTAAAGGATTCTAACTTGGTTTTGGCTGCTCATCTTGTACTCTGCCACCTTGCTGAATCTTCCACTGAGTTCCAGTAATTTTCTTTCTAAATCTTGGGGATTTTCTGGGCATAGGATTATACCATCTGCAAATAGAGAGGGTTTTACTTCCTTGCTTGTTTGCATGCCTGTAATTTTCCTTTCTTGCCTTATGGCTCTGGCTAAGGCTGCCAACACAACTTTGAATAGGAGCGGTAATAAAGGACCTCCTTGTCTGGTTCCTGTTCATAGAAGAAATGCTTTCAGTAATGTTGACTGTTGGATTTGAATATGACATTAATTAGCCTTTTCTGCATCAATCGATAAGATCATGTGCTGCTCTTCCTTTTTTAAAAAACTTTTTACTGTGTATTGAATTAAGATTTACAGAGTAGATTATCAGTTTGTTCATTCAAATCATATACTTTGCTTCATTACAATAAATGAATATGTCTGTGGATATGCCATCAGTTTACAGTCTTTAACTCTGTTCACTTTAACTACTACATTCCCCCCTGCGCATCTGTACTCATGAGGATGTTGCTATTGTTAAGTACCGTGGAGTCAGTTCCGACTCATAGTGACCCTGCACAGGGTTTCTGAGGCTGTAAATCTTTACAGGAGCAGAAAGGCTCATCTTTCTCCCGCAGAACAGCTGGTAAGTTTCTAACTGCTGACCTTGAGGCTGGCAGCCTGACTCATAACCACGACATTACCAGAGCTTTTACTCATGAGGATATTCATCGATAATTTCATACAGGTTTAAATACGATGTTGTTTTTAGATATGAGGGTTATGCGCTCTTCATAACCTGTACTGCAGTATTGCCCGTACTTTTCCTATGTTCAGGAATGGTTTAGGTAGAGTTGTTGTCAGCTCATGTCTGAATGTCTGATAGAGTTCAGCAGGAAGGCCAGCTGGGCCCTGAGGTGCTGAGGATAAGCTCTGGGGCTGCTGAGAGCAAGGTGGGCACTTCAAACTAACTAACCCCTCTGAGGGAGAAAGATGCACAAGCTCAGCATGCTACACACACAGGGGCGCTGTGTTTCACAATGGATTGAGTGGCTGTGGATTTTGTTTAGCTTTAGGGTCCTTATAACACTGCTGTTTTATATTGCTGAATATATTGTGGCTTGTTACAATTTTTACTAAAGTTTGATCTGTTAGAATGCTGTTCTTGTTAGATGTCAACGAGTCAAGTTTGACTCATAGCGACCCTGTGTATAGGGTTTCCAAGGAGTGGGCTTGAATTGCTGATCAGTGCTGATCCTACAGCACACCAGAAGTCCCAAAGGAACTAAAATATTTATTTAACATTTCTTGCACGATAAACATATATTGGTGACTGATTCCTATAAATTTTGTCTTAGAATATATAAGCTTTTCAGTTTCAGAGGATAATCTTGCTGCATGAAGAATTTCTATTTGGTCTCCTTTTTTCTTTTCTTTTTTTGCCCCACACTGTCCCCATCCCCAGAATCCTGGTGTGGGGCTGCTGCTTCAAGGGGAGGTTCAGACTCACCAGCTGATCCTCAGAACCCCTAGACAAGGTCGCTGAGTCAGAATCGTCTCAACACTAAACAACAACCCCCAGCCCCAGTACTTTTTCTCGTCTCAGCCACTCTCTGATTGCAGGGCTTCTGAGGACAAGTCTGCTCTACTTTGTAAACTTGTCACTCCATAGGTGGTACTGTGAAGTGCCAAAGAGTCACTTCCTACTCATAGTGACTCTGTATAGGAGCGAGCTGGTGAGTTTGAACTGCCGACCTTGTGCTTATCCTAGAGTACCACACCAGTACTCTACCTCTGACTTCTGCTGTATATTCTCTTTGGTTTTCTGTAGTTCAAGTATGATACACACATATGTAGATTTTTGTTTGCTTGGTTTTATTCTGATGTTTCTTTTCTGAACTTGCCCATCTGTATAGTTTTGTGTTTGTCACTAGTCTTAGTGAGTTATCAGCCATTGTTACTTCAGATATTGATCTTATTACTCTATTTCTGATATTCTCACTACTCGTATTACACCTTTTTTCTGAGTTCTTGCTTACATGTTCCATTTTTATTTTACTTTTATCATTCTTTCTTTTTAGATTTCAGTTTTTAATGTTTTTCTTGACTTAGTTTGAAGCTATTTCTTTTACCTTAATCAATTACTGATGCCATTGAAGACATTTTGTTTCAGTTACATTATTTTTGAACTATGATTTTTCCTTTTGACATTTCATAGCGTTTATGTGTCTCTGTTCACATTCCCTACTGTTTTTTCATGTGGTGTACATTTTCCAAAGGCAACCTATCCAATAGTGAATGTTTTATATCCCAGTGTTGATTTCACAAGCAGTGCCTTATCTGAATCTGGTTGTTGTGTTTACATTGTCCACTCCAGGTAAGTGAAAAGTTGCCAGTTCCTCATTGATTCCGGTACTCGTTTCTCATACGGCTTTTACTGTATTTTTCAGGTTTTGTTGGATATTTTGATCAGTCTTATGGAAAGCGGGTAAATTGTTTCTTTCCACAAAGAAATGATGATCTGAATGTGGAAATCGGTCTTCCATTAGTTGATGACTTACTTACTTGTTTCTATTCTGTTGTGTGAGTTGAGGAATCTATCAATATTACCTTTGTGGAATCCCAAATAAGTTGTCATGAACTTGTGGGCCGACCTGCCTAACGACCTTGAATTGAACTTGCCCAGTAGACCCCCTGGGAGTCCTGGTTGGGATAATGCACTGGATCAAAGTGATGGTTTGAAATGCAAGGTCTGTGGTTCAGATTCACCACCCACTCCTTGGAAACCCTATACAAAGTCACTATAAGTCGAACCAACTCGACAACGCTTAACAACAACAACAGTAGATCCCCTTGGAAGTCATTTGTGTTTCTCCACTTTTTTCTTTGAATCATATTGGTAACTTTAAGATTCATTCTTGGTTATGTTTCTCTCCATTAAAGTGTCTTCAACTCTGACCCACAGCAACCCAGTATAGGGTTTCTGAGGAGCAGCTAGTGAGTTTGAACCACTGACCTTGCAGTTCAAATGGAACTCCTTCATTAGGTTAGATGCTGCTTAAAAGACTGATGGCGAGATCAGCTCTTTATGCCAGCTGTTTTCTGTGTAAACTTTTTGGCACCCATTGAGCCAAAAAGCTAGCTGAGGGTATCAAGATGTTCCTTTAAAATTGAAAACGCAGAAGCATGTGAGCTCCCAGCTTGAGTAGCTGTCACCTCAGTAGTGACCCCGTGGTCCTTTCCACGACTTGCTGAAGCAACGCCGCACTTTCCTTTAGCCATCAGGGGCATCTTTCTTCTCTGTAGGCTCATTTCTGATATTGTCCTATTACGAAAATGTTTCTTCTTTCTCAAAACGGTTGTTTCAGTAGGGCAACATGAACACAAACTTCTGTAATGTTTAGTGATTCATAAGGACTTGTTCTTGGGTTTAACAGTTTGATTCTCACCATTACCCCAAAATGATTTTTTTTTACTAATAAGACTAACACAGGTGTTAATACTGCAGGAACTTGTCTGAAGGTATCCACTGATAAGAGAAACAGGTTCAAGCATACTTTTTTGGGAATAAACCCATGGAGGCATGAATGGTGATCTTAGTGGCAGCAGAAGGGAATAGCGATGGAGTTGTTGTCAGGTGACACTGAGTTGGTTCCGCCATCCTCACAATTGTCGTTACGCTGCTGCCACCGTGCCCATCCATCTCATTGGGGTCGCTCTCTTTTTCGCTGACCCTCCACTTTACCAAGCATGATGTCCTTCTCCAGGCTGGTCCTTCCTGACAACACGTCCAAAAATATGACTGACGAACCTCACCATCCTGACGTCTAAGGAGCACTCTGACTGTGCTTACTCCAACACAGTCCATGCTACCTTCAGCATTCTTCTCTAACACAACTCGAATGCATCAGTTCTTTTACAGTCTTATTCATTGTCCAGCCCTTACCTGCATATGACGCTTATTGAAAAGTCCAGGGCTTGTTTCACGTGCATCTTAATTAATCCTCAACTGATTTTCTTTAAAGAGATCTTGTGCAACAGATATGCCTAATGCAATACTTAGTTTGATTTCTTGGCTGTTGTTCGCATGAGTGTTGATAGTGGGTCCAAGATAAAATGAAGGCCTTGACACCTTCAGCATCATAGTGTTGTATCTTTGTCCAGTTGTAAGGATTTTCTTTACGTTGAGGTAGACTCCATACCGAAGGCTGTGGTCTTCATCAATAACTAACTTAAATCCTCTTCAATTTCAGCAATCAAGGTTTTGTTAACCGCATTTCACAGCTGTTAGTTTTTCTGCAATCACATATTACAGCTTCTTGGATTACTTGCTCAGCATACAAATTGAGTAAGTGTGGTGAAAAGAATACAACCCTGGCACACACCTTTCCTGATTTTAACCCATTTGGTATACCTCTGTCCTATTCTACCAACTGACTCCTGAACAGGTTTTTTCATAAGCACAATTAAATGATCTGAACCCCTATTCTTCACAGTGTTTTCCATAGCTTGTCATGATCCTTCAAGCTAAAAGCCTTTGTTTGCATTGTCAATAAAGCACAAGAATGGAATTGGTCATAGTCAAATGGAAAAAATAAGCCGTGTGTTATAAACAGGGTTAAATGTGTGAAATAAAGAACTACCCCTCCAGAGGTCAATGGAAAACTCCAAGGTTAATGTCCTTACTGTAGGCAGACCACAGAAGCTTGTGTCATTTCCCTGAAAACTTCCAGTTCCTTCGGAGAGTCAGCCTTTTACACACAAATTAGGGAATGTGATTGCTTATCCTGATTATGTGTCATGTTCTAGGACGCACTGGTGTTTGAGGATGTGGCTGTAGACTTTACCCAGGAAGAGTGGGCTTTGCTAGATTTTCCTCAGAGGAAACTTTACAGAGATGTGATGGTGGAAACCTTCCAGTACCTGGACTCAGGTAAGGATGCCTTCCTTTTTCTCATTTTCTTCATGAACATTTTATAGAATATGTGCTGAAGGGTGGGAAGACTCTAGAAAACATGACAGATGTTTTCACTTACCTCTTGGAGCTTTGTTGTTGTTGTTAGGTGCCATCGAGTTGGTACCGACCCATAGCGACCTATGCACTGCCTGATCCTGGGCCAACCTCACTATTGTTGCCACGCTTGAGTCCATCGATGCTGATGATTAGCCAGTCCATCTCATTGGGGTCTTCCTCTTTTTCTCTGACCCTCCACCTTACCAAACATGATATCCTTGTCCAGCGACTGCGCCCTCCTGACAATATGTCCAAAGTAAGAGAGACGAAGCTTAGCCATCCTGGCCTCCAAGGAGCA